CTTCCCTCAGCCAGGGCATTGAAAATGGGTTGTAGATGAGTATTCCAGCATGGCAATGACCCAAAACACATGGCCAAGGCAACAAAGGAGTGGCTCAAGAAGCACATTAAGGTCCTGGAGTGCCCTAGCCAGTCTCCAGATCTTAATCCCATAGAAAATCTGTAGAGGGAGCTGAAGGTTCAAGCTGCCAAACATCAGCCTCAAAACCTTAATGACTTGGAGAGGATCTGCAAAGGGCAGTGGGACAAAATCCTTCCTGAGATGTGCGCAAACCTGGTGGCCAATTACAAGAAATGTCTGACCTCTGTGATTGCCAACAAGGGTTTTGTTACCAAATACTAAGTCATGTTTTGTGAAGGGGTCAAATACTTATTGAAGGTATTTTTAAAATGCAAATCAATTTATAACTTTTTTGAAATGCGTTTTTCTGGATTTTTTGTTGTTATTTTGTGTTTCACTATTAAAATAAACCTACTTTTACAATCATTTTCTGATCATTTCTTTGTCAGCGGGCAAATGTACAAAATCAGCAGGGGATGAAATAATTTTTCCCTTGGTGCCTCAAATCCATAGATGTTTTGAGACGGAAGTATCCAGACTTTTCTTGGCTTGTGTATAGACAAATTCAAGAGAGATGGCGAATTGATAAAAAAACTGCTTCTTTTATGGAAAATGGGAATTTTTTGATGTGTTTTTTTTAATGTTGAAAACAATAAAAAATTCCTTGAAAAAAAAAAAAAAAGAAATATTTTTTCCCTCACTGTACATAGAAAGCTAGTTTTCCTACTGAAGTCAAAGTAAAAATATAAACGCCTACTTAATTCCCATTGAAATATGCAACTAACTTCATATGTATCCCACCTAATGTTGTTACTAAACTTCTATATATTTTAATACTGATATTTTTTCTATCAAAAAATATCCAATAGCACTCTGACATTCAGCTTCAACAAGCTGTTATATTATTACAAATGTAATCTAGAACTTTAGGAGATGTAATTATTTTCTATTTCACTTTTGCCATACTCGTTATTTCTAACCCCTACTCTGCTAATTGTTGTTACATTAACAGACTAATAATTGCTAGTACTACTCTGCTCTTGTATCATCTGAGTCACTTGTATATAATAACATTTGTTCTAGAGCAGTGGTTCTCAACCTGTGGGTCAGGACCCCATTTGGGGTCGATCGACCATTTCACGGGGGTCGCCAAGCAAGGCTGTCCGCCATTTTTTTTGTCTGCCATTTTTTCCCCCTTTTCCAGTGGGTGCCTTACCTCACTTGGGCTGGGCCAGCTGGTGGTCGGCCTGCTCCGTCTCTGCCGCTTGCCAGCTATGCCTCGGCCAGCGCAGGGGGCGGAACCACGCATGCGTGGCGCTCCCGGGCAGGGAAAGTCCTCGACTTACGACCGGTTTAGTCCTCAACTTACGACCGGGTTAGTCCTTGACTTATGACCAATTTAGTCCTCGACTTACGACCGGTTGGGGTCGCGGCATTAAAAAGGTTGAGAACCACTGTTCTAGAGTTATATACAACCTTGTGTGTGTGTGTTACAGGTTATCCCCAGAGTCCATATCAAAAATCTGAGTGCAGCCACATGTGGCCTGAAGTCTCTTATCATGCCTCTCTGTTCTAAAACTTTATATATTAACAGTACTTCTATTCTAACATAAACAAAAAGACAAAAACCTTTAATAACCTGAGCTTTTACTTTCTCCTCTTCCATCTCTGTCAAGATATCATCAGCAACCATATGATCCATTATATAAGATGTCTTGATATCACTTTCCAAAGCTTGGCGGTTCTGAAGCAAATAACTTCTAGCTCTCTCGTCCATGTTTATTGTTCCTTTTAGCTGAGTAATTCTATGAGCTAACCAAGACACAGAACATTTCACAGTTATAATGTATGAATATCACTTATATGTTACTTTAAAAATGAGAAGACAGAACCTTGGATTACTAACATTAATCAGTATTTCAACTTGCAATAAATTATTGAACAGTTGTTAGCTACCTTTGGACTTCAATACTGATACCTAGCCACCAGTGAAAAACTGTGGCAGATGACTGCTTATCAACAAATGAACCTAGAATTGTTCATTTTAATTTTCCTGAAATATATTTTCCAATTATAAAATGGTCCTGATACCACATAACTGCAAGCTCTACAACAGCAATAATATAGAGTAGTATAAAGAATGAGGAATAAGATAATTAAACCAAAATTATATGCTCTAGAGACATTGGTACATTACAGGTAGTCTTTGATTTACAATCATTCATTTAATAACCGTTCAAAGTTACGCCATTGAAAAAAGTGACTTTTGACCATTTTTCACACTTATGACCATTGCAGCATCCCTGTGATCACATGATCAAAATTCAGATGAATTGGCATGTATTTATGATGGTTGCAATGTCCTGGGATTATATGATCACCTTTTATGATCTTCTGACAAAGTCAATGGGGAAGCCAGATCAATTAACAACTGTGTTATCAACTGTGGTAACAACTGTGGCAAGGAAGGTTGTAAAATGACAACAGAAATTTTGGGCTCCACTATGTTCATTAGTCAAGGATTACCTATATACAAATTATTCAGTTGATCAGACATTATTTATGCATTATCCCAATATTTTATTTAGGTGCAGTTTTACCAAAATACTTTTTTAGCATTTATTTAACTAATTACATAAAATAAGTTAACTTCAACTATAAATTTGCTTTAAACAGTCAAAGAAAATAGTCTAATTTGATATCTTTAAATGATACCCTGGCATTTCTAGAACATCACATATATATTTATAATTAAAAAATAAAAATATTTATTTATGTATTTATGTATTAAATTTGTTTGCTCACCACAAGTTGATTCTGGCTGGCTGACAATGTTAAAAGGAATAAAACTATACAAAAACACGTATAGAATAAAATAATATAAAATACAAATTATATAATCATAAAAGCAAGATTTTAGACATAAAAGCAATCTGAAAGTTAATGTTTAACATAAAATACTAATTAGCCTAAGAAACAGTAACAGGCTTATGGAAAAAAAATAATTCCATAGATTAATAAAATATGCTATTGTACTGTATTAAGTACAAATTTTATATAATAGCAAGCTAAAGCAATATGCAGTAAAATTTAAACACAAAGTATAGGTACCTAACAGCATATATTTTAACGTTACATTCTCAAATACCAGAAATTGCACATATATCCTGCTACGATGCTTGCACTATGATTATCTAGCTGAAAAATATATGCAACATAAAGATTTATTTCTTCAATATTACCCTAACAACCTGTTCTAGGTCAATAAAAAGGGAGAAAGTGATATTTAGAGGATAGGGTTGTAAGTTTTCATAATTTTGTAGGTTTAATTTGCCCTATCAGAGACCTATCAACAAATTAGAATGATTTCATACAACAAAATACTAACTTGGAGATTACCCACTTGAAGTTCATTAGGACTGTCTTGTACAGATGAGTTTACTGCTGTAGGTAACTAACTTCAGGAAGTTAAAATATTCGACGTTGGAATAATCTCGTGAAAAATTCTTGCCTCTACCTCAAACGTGCACTTACACCACTTCATGCTACTTAAAATGTTCAAATTCCCAAGACACCACTTGCCTTCCAAAAATACGGGAGTAGACTTTTCCAATACAGGACACGTTTCTTTACGTCAGCGGTTCTCAACCTATGGGTCGCGACCCCATTTGGGGTCGATTGACCATTTCACGGGGGTCGCCAAGCAAGGCTGTCCGCCATTTTTTTTTCCCTTTTCCGGCGGGTGCCTTACCTCCCTTGGGCTGGGCCAGCTGGTGGTCGGCCTGCTCCGTCTCTGCCGCTTGCCAGCTACGCCTCGGCCGGCGCAGGGGGCAGAACCACACATGCACGGCGCTCCTGGGCAGGGAAAGTCCTCGACTTACGACCGGTTGGGTAGTCCTTGACTTACAACCGGTTTAGTCCTCGACTTACGACCAGTTTAGTCCTCGACTTACAACCGGTTTGGTCCTCGACTTACGACCGGTTGGGGGTCGCGGCATTAAAAAGGTTGAGAACCACTGCTTTACATAGAATAGCTCTATCCAAACCTTTAAAATGAAAATACAAACGGCGAATTTCTCGATCAAGCTATTTAAGGAAAGGCGACGTCTTGCTGCGAATTCTCGACTTGCCCGCTCCGCTCCTAAAGTTGGCCCGCCCTGTTTTTTATCTCGACGACTCCTGCCCTCTCGCACTCTCCAACCCACCTTCAACACGCTTTTATTTTCTCTCTCTTTCTCATCGTCTCGCCTACCGCCTCCCCGCCCTCAGGCTTGCTGCAAGGTTACCTGGAGGCGTAAGCAGCGCTCGTGGGAACGGAAGCGGGCGGCCCCGACAAAGCCCTTCACACCTCTCAGCCTTCACCCCATTTCAGTTGCACCCCCCCCTCCCGGGACGGGCACTCGGGAACTAGCAGCCACTTCCTCTTTCGCGAGGCGAATCGAGGAGGCAAAGAGCGAGAGAGGGGCGGGGTAAAGCAGAGGCGAGCCTCCGCCAAAGTTCCTCGCGAAGGGTAGCTCGAAGAAGCGGAGCGGGTCGCCGCCCGGCAGCCACGAGGCTCGAGCGAACAAAGCCGACGCCTCGTGCCCGAGCCACTCGCTCACCGTCTTGGCTCAGCTCGCGCCTGGCAAGGCAAAGAGGCCGCTGTGCCAGTCGGCGAGCGCGCGTTTCCCCGCTGCTCGCGCCGCGTTCATCTCCTCATTTCCCCCCCCCCCCGCCTACATCGACTAGCAAGGGCTCGCGAACAGAAACGATGGCGGAAGGGGAGGGGGCGTGCATAGCCGAGCATGCGCTTGGACGTGGCGGGCCATCTCGGAGCTGCGGCGACGGCGGTGGCGGAGAAGAATCTGCAGGGGTAGTCAACCTTGGCTCTTTTATGACTCGTGGACTTCAACTCCCAGAATTCCTGAGCCAGCTTAGCTGGCTCAGGAATTCTGGGAGTTGAAGTCCACGAGTCATAAAAGAGCCAAGGTTGACTACCCCTGCCATAGAGCTTCGAGTTGGGCGCTGGGCTGGAGTACAATTAGGAGGGTGAGCAGTTCAAGTGTTTTAACTTTCTATTGTGGAGGTAAAGTGTGTGTGTGTGAAGGGGAAAGCTGGAGAGCGGTGGAAAGGGAAAGGATTATATAGATAACGCTGCAGTTTTAACTCTCAGCAGTAGAGAAGCAAGTTTCTAGAATATAGGAGCGATGTTGTTTTGGCATTAAGTACATTTAGTGGGAAGTAAATTTGGTTTTGTCCCAAATGGAATGTACTTCTAAATAAAAAATTCACGGTGTGGGGAATGTAGGGAGCTTCCTTTGGAGGTAAACTATTAGGAGATTGACACACTTCTTCAATTCAGTGCATGAATCCTGCATCAAGACATGTCCGAAGTCAAGCGGAGGAAAGCAAACATTTCCAAGCCAAATGAAGATGAGCAAAAGAAACAAGTTTTCAACAAGAGTACCAAATCTATGAGGATGGATCTGCAAACAGCTTCAAGTCTGTTATCTCTTGTTGCCAGTCTAGGGCTATCATGGTAAGCCAAATTAAAGAAAAGTTGGTACTGTACCGTTCTGGTGAACTGTCTACATGGTTGCTAAGAATCAACTCTTGATGGCATGTAATTAATGATAAAAGACAACAAAAGTGTTAATTCTTGATTTTGGTTGGGTGGACAAACTGATGGCAGAATAATGCCTAGTGGTCCATCAAGTCTGCCCTTTGAGACTTTGTGTTTTCTTTATTATTTTAATTTTTAATTTTTATTGGATGATGGACGTGTTTATCTCAAGAATGTTTAAACTCAGTTACTGATGATTGGAACTTCTACCTCCGCTGGAAGTTGGTTCCAAGCTTCCACTACTTTTTCTATGAAATAACTTTTCTACCATTACTTTTTAATTTTCCTCCTGTCAATTTGAGGTTATGTCCCTGTGTTCTTGATTTTTGCTTAATATTGAAAATATTGCCTTCTAGAACCTTATTTACACTTAATATATTTAAAGGTTTCAATCATGTCCCCCATTTTCCTTCTGTTGTCCAGGCTGTACACACTCAGTTCCTCCAATCTCTCTTGATATCTTTTGTCCCTCAGACCTTGCAACATTTTTGTTGCCAATCTCTGGACTTGCTCAATCTTATCAATATTTTTTTAAGTAAGGTCTCCAGAATTGGAAATAATATTCCAAATAGGGTCTGACTAAAGAAAGCCGTGTATAGTGGGATTAGGATCTCCTTTTTCCTGCCAGTGATCCCTCTAGTGATGCATCCCAGAATTTTGTTTGTCTTCACATTGCCTGGCCACACTGTTTGCTCATTTTGCAGTCATCTGCTATGAGCACACCTAAATCCTTTTCTTCTGTTGTTCTGCCTAACACTGTACCCCCAATACTGTACTCTGCAGAGGATTCTTTTTCCCCAGCTGCATGATCTTACATTTAGAAACACTGAACTGCAGTCTCACATTTTTGATCGATTTTCTAGCAATGCCCAATAGTTTTTCATGTTACAAATATCCCCAGGAATGTCAACTCTATTTCATACCTCTGTATCATCAGCAAAAAAAGATTTAAATAACTATTTCATAGCATTATATTAATCTTCAATTTATACTTATGTTAAATGTTAACATTTATAATTCATTTATGAAGTCAAGATGAAATGGCCTCCTTTGTATAATTGCTTAAAAGTAAAAATCTATTCTAGTGATATATGTATAGAGATAGGCTGGCTAAAGAATTCTCTATGTCAGTTTATTTGGTTATTTATGTAAAATTTCATAGCTGATCGCTATTCTTGAAAATAAGACTTACGGTAAATGTTAATTGAATAGCAGAAGCAGATGTTAATAAAACTATTTCTACTTAATATGTGCCTAGATAATAACTGGATTAGCTTGTTTGGTGACATTTGATCAGTAGGCTTTCCTACAATTCTCTTTCTCTAGGCACCTCTGAAAATCTGCTCTTGTAGATTAATGCAATGTAGCAAAAATTAATAAACAGATTGTTTATCAGCAATCAGCAAAATATTGTTTATAATCAACAAATGCATTTCTGATTTGTGCAAAGCCATCAATTCCATTGAACTATACATTTTTGTTGGATATTAGGATATAAATTATATATAGCCTTTTGTGCAAATGTGTTCTTAAATTGTTATTGCAATTTATTCTAAAATTGTGGAACATTTAACTTTTAAATGTTTTGTTGCTAAACGTTTGGTTTTTCTACATTTCTCAGGTTTCTTTTCCAGCAGTCTGTTCAGTTGGCTGCTGTAGAGAAGAAATATCACATATTAAAGGAAGAAGCTGTAAAGTTTCAAGATATGGAAAATAAAATTAGCACAATCTCTGAAAAGGTAATAATTCAAATAGATATTGCTATAAAACTTGGTATTTTTTACTATCTGAAATCTGCCATTGCATCAGCCATTTACAGTCATAAGGAAAAATTTGTTGAACAATTAAATATACAAATCTAGATTGAAAATTAAGTTTAATATTCAAATCAGTCATTTGATTGAAATCTAAATAGTGAAATATACCAAAAACTGTAATACTATGTATACCTACTTGGAAGTAAATGCCTTTGGATTTAGTGGATCTTTTTCAAAGTAAGTGTACATAAAAATTGTATACCTGCAATCCTATTCTAATTTAGAAATAACTTGCACTGAATTTTTCTAGCCTCAATTTGAATCAATACTATATTATTTCCTAAATCTATAACTTGCTTTTCATTAAAGTCACTACACATAGCACTCACTCTTCCAATTTTTCCCACCAGTAGCACTATGAACAGTTTAACCATTACACAATAATTTAAGTCTGAGTTAATGGCTTTTTTACAATGATATAGCATCTGTAATTTTCAGTATAGTTTTAAGAATGATTTTTGGAAAATCATAGCCAACTGATTAGGACCACAAATGCTTCCAAACACAGCTTGAGTTCTCCTGCTCAGCAGTTTTGTCTTTTGAAATAATATTTAGTAAAAATGCCAGGGAGTAATTGCCATAATCAAATGATGTTATAAAATAAAAACAACTGTTTTTATTCTTCTTTCTTCACACCATTAATATAAACTCTCTTCTTTGTAGCTCTATTTGTTCTATTACTCCTCTGTCTGCCTTTCTATACTTAGCAGTAGCTTATTGTTTCTTTTAAAATAGTAATGACTTTTGCTTCGTATTTGTCTTGCTTCCAGGTTTTAAATTGTTTTGATTCTCCTCTGTCCCTTTGCAAACAAGTTTGTCTTTTGCATGCCATTCAAAGGTTCATAGTCAGATAAAATTTAAATATACTGTATATAACTTGCAAACAGTAAGTGAAAATGGACATTGTTTTGTGTTAAAAATGCAGTTTGAATCTTCGAGTGTCCTGCAGGAGGTTGCTTCATATGTTTCCATCATAAGTGATTTTGAGCAACAAGTGTCTGGCCTTCATAACTTCATAGAGAATATTCAAAATAGTCAAAAGATATGCTCTAAAAAGTTTCAGACTATTAGCAAAACCTTTCAAAAGGTGGTATACTCCTGGGAAAGAAGCACGTCCGAGATGGACACAAATACCAGCAACTTAAGGTTGGATACCAAGATTTTACATAGCGAAATAATTTCCCAGATCAATACAATGGATCAGGGACTAAAAAAACTTTCTGAAAGACTGAAAGATCTAGAAGACAGTACAATTATGAACCTTAAAACATTAAATAGGCAAGAGGAAAATGAACTGATAAGGATTGAACAGCAGCTGCAGTTGGATAAAAACATAACTGAACTATTAAAAGAAGATCACAACAGTCTTTTGGTCAGAAGTAATGATCTGTACCAGAAACTTGTATTTTCTGAAGACAAACTGCAGGAATGCAAGACCTCTTTACCAGTGATAGAAAATGCTATTTATTCCATTCTTAGACTATCAAGTGAGCTTGTTGCCGCAGAAAGAAAAAAAGAAGACATGATCACAAAGGTAATTAGTGTAGAAAATGAAATAATGAAAGCTACTTCTGAAATAATGAACATACAGAACACTCTTGAAGACATACAGTCCAAAGATAGCTGAATAAAAAATGAAGAAGAATCTTAATACCACAGAATCAACCATTAATGTTACAAGCAAAGCTTAAAGATTTTGCAGAAGTAGCAGCAGAAGCCCACCATAGTGTGAACAGTATTGGTATGGCAGCTGTATAAACTTAACGTTTCTTTGGCTATCATTTATATTTTGGGAGAGACATGTACACAAAGAAAATAAATACTAAAAGATTTGTTAACATACTGGAAACATCTATTTATTTATAGACATGTTGCAAATAATTCAGTGATTATTAAGCTCATTATTGAGTCAGTTTCGATCATATACTAAAGATCTACAGGGTGATTTCTCATTAACCTGATCCTTCAAGGCTTCCAATTACCACTGTAATCAAGCTATTGCTGCAGGTTGGCCTTCCACCTATCTCAGCATTATAGATTTCTTAAAAGATACAGATCTTTGCATATAAAGTGTCTGAAAGCTGATGATTTCAGTGTGGTTTATTTGTGCCTCAAGTGAAAGCTCTCTATTGTAGAGATTTTGCGTATGATTCATTTGTTTTCTTCACTATCCATGGTATTCTCAGGAGTCTTCTCTGACATCAAAATTCAAAAGCATCAGTACTGAGTTTATGCTCCTTCAAATCCAACTTTCATTTTCCTAGAGCAGGGGGGGAAATTGCCAGCACGATATATTCTGGCATTTGAGTATCTTTTCTAGACCTTGATTGCTGCCTTATCAAGTACTACAATATGCAGTATATGTATTTTTTTAAAAAAATCTGGTTTATTTATTGGTGATATAAAAGGCAGAAGCGATCTACTGCCTCTTGTCTTCACAGTCACATTCTAAGGCAGGTTGCTGCACTTGATATAATTTATTTTGATTTCTTTATAAATTATCATTTTTTTCACTTGTTCCTTTTATTATTAGAATTAGATTACTTGCCGATCATCCACATTTTCATCTATCAGAATAGTGTCATCTGCTGTGTACAGGTTATTAGGGTTTTCACAACCCCATCCAGGTGGTGGCTTCTTGTGCTAAGTACAAATTACACATGAAGACTGGGTTGATCCTCATTTCCCTAAGAATTACAAGAATTCAACATGATATTGATGATAAACTTGATAGGATCAATAAGTATTTGAAATTTTCTTATTTTCTGAACACGTTGAATTTTTCTTACAGTATCAGCTGACAACTCTTTATGTTGCAAAATTTGAGAATGAGTCTTGTTATTTTGATGGGAGTGAAAAGACTAGGAAAAGGAGGAAAAAATCCTACAAGGCAGATTACAAACCTCTTTTGTATGTTGCCAAGAAAAGTATAGGTAGTCCTCGAGTTACGATGGTAATTGGGACCAAGCATTGCTTGTTAACTTGTTAGTTAACAAGTTAGATAATCTCATCAGTTGTTAGCCAAGAATCATACCCCAATCCAAGCCATTCCAGGCTTGGTCCCTTTCAGTCCCAAGCCTAGATAATGTAAGGCAGGTCTTTTCAACCTTTTCACAGATTGTACCACTTTTAGGACATGACAATATTTGAGTACCACCAGTGCTTAACAAGGTGTCAGAAACTTGATGACTAAAAAAAGGGGGGAGGATTTTGGGTTTTACTGATTAGATTCATTTGTTGTTATAGAAATGGCTAGTTTATAATATGGAAAAGTAAAAAGTTGAGGTTCGATGTTAATGCTTCCTTCTACTGCAACAGAGGAAGTCTCTTCTTTTTCCCTTCTTCCCCTCACTTTCCCCCCCTTTTTCCTCCCCACTGTGTCCTACTATTTGCTTTTGTATTTTTGTATTTTTATATTACAAACTGTAGAAAAAAAGGAAAAAAGTACCAGTTTTAATTTCTTCTGTGGCTGTTCCTTTGCTGAATCACTTTCCCTTTGCACTGGCAAATGTATGATGACTTTATCCATGTTTATTAATATGCACCACTACCAGCTAAGCTCAGGGGTCTTCAAACTTGGCACTTTTAAGACTTGTGGACTTCAACTCCCAGAATTCCTCAGCCTGTTTACCATAGACAGACTCAACATAAGGGGGTAAAACTAATTACATTTGTTTAAAGGGATTAAACCTACGGAAGATAATACTTTGGACTCATTGCTAGCTTAAAATACAGACTAAAATATTCCAATAACCAAAGCACACAGACCGAGCCCCTGAATTACAAAACGCTGTAAAAACTATACAGAAATCCTTATGGTAACCCAATCAAGCTGCTAGCTGATCCAGAACTAAATAAATCCACCTTCTTTCTGACATGCCGGCTTTTCATTTCATCAGCGCTGATTGCATTCTCCTGGCTGGAGAAAAGAACCAGGGGACCTTTTCTTCCAGCAACAGCTGGTACTTCTTCCCTGTCCCTGTTTCCTCTCTGCCTGCTGAGCTCTCCTTCTCTTTCCCTGTTGTCTTTTTCTCCTCTTTCCCGCCCAAGCCATCTCCTTTTATAGCCTCTCATCTCCTTCCCCCCTTTTCTTCAGTTCACCTCCAGCTCCGTGCTGCTCCCGGAAGCACCAATCAGCTGGAGCCAATCAGTTGGAGCCCTGCCGGCTCCTAGGGTTTCTGCCTAGCCCAGACAGTCCTGCCTGGTTGCTTCGGCTCATTCCCCTCCCCCACACTTCTCTCGGACGGTCGCATACCACCTGCCACGTGGCAAAGTACCACAGGTGGTACGCATACCACTGGTTGAAAAGCCCTGATGTAAGAGAATGCCTCCTCTTGAATTTCCCCCACCTGCTTATCTCCCCCAATCTTTTCCCCTTTTGGCTGACCACCTAGTTACCAGCTGCTCCTGGTACCCACTCCTACCTGTCACTCTGTGTGCCACCACTGTATCAGCTGGGCCCTATTTCACACTGCCTTTTGCATCAGTGCCACCAGGCTTCTCTTGCTCCTTTCCTGGGCCACCATTCATGCTTCACTCAAGACCTCTATTTGTGCACCAACCAGAACTTTTTCAGAAAAGTACCCATCTAGAAGGTCCTTTCATGCCCGGGGCCCTCTTTCACAAATTTCTCTCAAAAAAGGCAGAGATGTGAAAGGAGGATCCTTCTACCTAGATTTTTTTTTTTAAAGGCCTGGTTGATTTGTGAAATGATGTCCAGGGCAGGGTGCAGAGACGCTTGGCAAGGGATAAGAGAAACCCCAACAACACTGGCGTGAAAGAGGGTGGCATGAAAAAGACCCCAGCTGGTTCAGTAATAGTGTACTATATATGAATAAGCAGAGATGGGTGGTGGTGGCAGCTGGCAACATTGGATATGCAGTCAAAATGCAGTTATAAATGCCAGTGGGCCTGAATTTTGTTCATGTGGCTTAGTACAGTGCAACAGTCAGAACTTCAGTGAAGTTGTAAATCATTTTGTTCAATGCCATCATAATTTCAAATGGTTGCTGAATGGACTTTCAGCAAGGACTACCTGTACATGGAAATATCTATGTACAAGAAGTCAAGCTTGATTCTAGGATACAGATAATGAGGCAGCTGTGTAAGTTACCAGTCTGATGTAATAGATAAGGAAAACCAAGATTGAGGTTCCTTTTCAGCATGGTAGTTCATAGGATGACCTTGGCCCAATCATTTTCTCTTATCCCAAATATAAGGTTAACAGTGGAAAAAAATAGCTGGAAGAAATGCTAAGTATATTATCTTAAGCCAGTGGTGGCGAACCTATGGCACGGGTGCCAGAGGCGGCACTCAGAGCCCTCTCTGTGGGTACGCGCGCCATTGCCCCAGTCCTACAGCTGGGTTTTATAAAACCTTTTCGCTTTAGGCCTCCGCCACTGTGTACAAAAAAAAAAAAAGTTCAATCAGTCAATTTCAACTTCTTGCGGGAAAAAAAAAATCTTGCAAAGTTGGAATTGATTGATTAAACTTTTTAGTTCCACCCAGTCTGCTGTTACCACCGCAGCCACGGCCACCCAATGGGCCACACCCACCCAATAGGCCAAACCCACCCAGCACCCAATGATGCATAAGTGGGTTTTGGGTTGCAGTTTGGGCACTCGGTCTCTAAAAGGTTCGCCATCACTGTCTTAAGCTTTTTATCTGGTTTAATTTTATGCTTTTTTAACATTAAACACTATCTCACTCTCAATCCAATAAAGTTTTAAAAAGATGCTATTATTACTTTTATGCTGGTCTATAACAGAGATACCGGCTGGAAATCACATGAAGAATGTTTAACAACAGTCAGCGGGGGCTTCTCATAATTGTACAGAAACCACTATATCCAAGTTCTATAACGTCAGCATAAAAGGGCTCACAAACCTAATGCTTTATTTAATAAGCTAAGGAAAGCATATAAGAATATTCCCCTTTCCTTTTACAAAAGCTTACAGATAAAACTGGAGAATTTTAAATTACCTTTCATTGCAGGAAATCTGAATATTTTACATTTCAATGTAATATTCTCATCAGACTTTTTACTTTTTAGTGTGAGATGGTACCAAGTTTGACAAAACAACTGGAAGACCTTAATATAATTCCTCAGATGAAGCATCTGCAAAAGGAGATTAGCATCATGCAGATAAGATCCAGTCGGTTAATTCAAGAAGAGGAGGAGCTCCAGCGAAATTTAACATCTCTCTTTGATGCAGTTGCTAAACATGAGGAAAAAACTAAGGCCATCTCTGTAAAAATTGCAGATGTGAAGACTGACATTAGACGCATTTCAGGTCTTCAAACAGATATATCCTTATTAATAGAGAATCTAGAAATTTTAGAAGACAAGGTAAATAAAGCTGAAAAGGTCATAATACAGAATATAGGAGATCTTCTCACTAGCAGCATTGACAGGACTAAAAAGCTACAAAATATTGCATCTGAAAATACCAGAGAGGTAGAGCACATTAAGGCAAAATCATTTGAGCTGAATGCCAACTTTGCCAAGCAATTCAATAAACTTTTAGAATTGGAAAGTGATCGAGCTAAAGTTCTGACAACAGTAGCCTTTGCAAATGATTTAAAACCTAAAGTTCACAATTTAAAGAATGATTTGGCACATTTGCTACTTGTATTAGATGAATTAACATTGCGAATAGGAAGACTGCTTGGGGATCTATTGGAAAACCAGAAGGAACTTGCTCTCCTGAATAAAAAGTTATCTAATTTAACTTCAATTCAGACTGAAACTGAATGACAACTATTTCAAATAGGAACACATCTAAGAACATTTCAGTTCTAACAAATTAGCGTAGTTTGCTCTAACGAAGTTGGATGTTAAATCATAATTAAAAAATCTGCATATAGCAAATTTAATCTTCAAACGATGTCTGAATTAGCCATTCTTCAAGTGAAATCATGAGATTTTTAAATTATCAGGTGAAAATCCAAAGATACCTTTAACACTGGTGAAAATCTGATACGATTTAGGTTTGCATCATGTGTTTCTGCAAAACATTCCCAGCATTTTTGTAAAACAGAAGAGAACAATATTGGAGAATTCAGGTTTTAGTAGTTAGACAAAATCATTTGTTAAGCATTTTCATATTAAAATGTTTTCCTGTGCCAGCTGTAATTCATTAACATGAAATGGGTGTAATTTATTTCTTATGATATGGTAAAATGCTTTCTAACCATCCTCAACAAAGAATGTTCAAGACTTAAAACAGGGGACACCAATCCCCAGGCTATAGCCCACTACTGGGCCTCAGCCTGTTTTGAATCTGGCCATGTGAGCGCAATTCCATTTGCACGAGTGGGGGGATGAGAGCACTTGCGTGCAAAATTCCATTTGTGCACACCTGCTACTCACACAGAACCACTTCCCATCCGCCAAACACGAAAGGTTGGGGACTGCTGACTTAAAAGATGTAATCTTATATTTATGGTTTCCAAAAATGTATCTATGTACTTCTGAAAACTTTAACTTTTCTCTTTAATTCTGAACTTCAGAACCAATTTTAAATAGATTCTAGTTTTAAATATTTTGATAGTAGATGACTGTGTATAGATTCATACATGATTCAAACGGAATACTTGAGGTAGGTCTATTTATAACATACATTTGCAATTTTTCATTCTGACTATTAATTTGCTTGTGAGAGCCTTAATGGTATAGGATATTTTCCTGCCTAATGTAGTTTTTTTCCTTAAGAGGTTTCTCTGGTTAAAATATTTTGTTGTATTGCACCATTGACAGTATACATGATGATGATTATCCATTTAGATCACTGTTTCAAAAAACATTTAATTCATATTATAACAAATTACTAAATATAAATGTAAAATTAAAATATGTGCACTTTCCCCCTTCCTTTCAGATTTAGGAGGGTTAAACTTGGTAAATAAAAAAACCATTTTCATAAATATGTGGTTTCTCTTTATTAGGATGACAGTATTTTCTCCTGTCAGACTTAAAATTATGAAAACAAAGTCTTTCTAGTTATTCTTTATTTTTACCACCGGTGACAGCCCGAGTCAAGCAAGTCCTATACTGCCATGAGAATACAGTTTCACAAAGTTTCATTATCAGCCATTCAGTCCATCATTCATCTACTCAGAAAGACCAAGCTTTTTCTTCAAGGAATCTGGCATCTCAGGTGGAGGTGGACGAGGAAGCTTGAAATAAACTTTCACAGAGTCATAGATAAACCACTGTAGTGCTGTCAGGGTACCAATCATAATGATACGGGCAAATAGACCCTTCCATACTCCTGAGGAGAAACATACCAGGTTTAGTAACCAAAAGCATTTATTGAATCTCTTTTTTAAAAAACTTTTATTTTGATACCTACCCTTGATTCCCAGCCTTTTCAGTACTTCCAGAGCTGAACTGCCTTTTTCTTTATTCAACACAGAGACCACAGAATCAGCAGGATGTGAGACAATGGCACAGAAGACACCAGCTGAAAAGAATTAATTTTATTTTTTTTCTTAGTGCATGATGATTACAGGTAGCTCTCAGGTTATGACAGCAACTGGGAACAGAATTGCCATTGCTATATAATGTCGTAAAGCACAATGTCATCTGACTGCATTGCTTAGTAATGGCAATCCCAACGGTGCTGGATGATCTTGACACCATACGACTGCACAGATCATTAACCAGAAAGAGGTAGGATTTCCAGGTAAGGAGTGCAGGTGGGTGTCCTGGTACCGTGACCAGGTACTGTGATGTTTGGCCAGGCCGGTGAGGGCCAGCAAGGTAATACTGAAGAATACAGGTGGGCCAGCATAGGTAGGAACTGGCAATAATGGGGGGCTGGCAAGGCAGCAGGCAGATAGAGGGGTGCTATGTGGGTATAGCCAGATACTAAGGAGTGCAGTTTGGGGGTTGCAGATGGCTTCACCCTAGTGAGTACAAAATTCTTGGCATGTCTCTCTTGAATTCCATAGTGGGGCTCATTGGGAGAAAAAGTGGGTGGGAATGACTTAGAGAAACAACTTGCAACCTTCCCTGCCACCTTCCCCTTTGACTTTGCTCTGGAAAGCCAGAAAGGAAGGTAATAAATGGTGATCACATGACTGCAGCTTGCTGCAATGTCTTAATCACAATGGTTTTGCCACAGCCTGTCCAAGTTCCCTGCATTCAATGGATATGTATAAGTGATGCTACAGAAGCTTTATATTAAGGTTAAATTTCCCTGTAACTGCAACAAGTATTCATCTTATTTAAAATTATTAGCCATTAGTCAAACTGAAAATTAGCACATTTTGTTGTATCATATTGAAAAAAGCTTGTCTATTGCACCTACCACCATCACCACCATTCTTTTTGAAAGTTGAGAAATGTTCCTTACCAATATAGCCTGCTACAAATGTAACAACCAGCTGTTCTGCTTTTGAACATTCACTTCTTGGTTTGGGAACAACATATTTGTAAAGAGCTTCCACAGTTCTTTCAAAGCAGGCAAACTTCATCATAGTGTATGGAATCTGCCTCATCCACAGTGGAGCAACTCCTTTGTAGAAACTGCAGAATAATCAGAAATTAGGACATTTATTGAGCTTTTATTAAAGGGAATCACAAAATAAACTGTTCACTTCTATTATCCTACAATTAACCTCCTAAGAGAAGAGGTGTAAATTTAGAGATGGATACATTGGCATTCGGAATTAAAAAGGAATAAACAGCAACCAGCAATGAACTCAAAGCCTTTAGATACAGTGAGCAAAATCATGCCAAAGTTGTCAAATTCTAGTTTTAGTACTCTGTTGCAGATCACATACCATCCAGCAACTCCATAAAATTAAAATTATGTGATGTTAATTTTTAGAAAGGTAGAAAACAATGAATATATATGTCTTTCCTGGCTTTAATTGAAAAAACAATTTAGCTGCTTGGATAAATGTCCACATTCCAGCCAAATTCTGATAGGAGAAAATGACATACAGTACAGCCATTTCTATCAGAATATAAGCGACTAGAATGAAGGTATATTATTCTTACATGCCAATGACTCAAGCATCTTTGACTGTGCAACCGTAAAGTTGCTGATCCCTCTTAGCTGGAGCTACTCATGACAAAATCTATAAGCAGAACTCAGTAAAGAGAAATCAAACAAAGATGGATCTAAGGAAGCATGTTGGCTCATGCTGTTTCAGAACTGTTGCAATAAATCTGAACATGTCCTTAATTTGAGATTTAATAATTCATATACAATGACCACGTGCAGAAAATTTCAAATACTTACGCCCAAATACCTTCTTCTGCAAACATTTTGGGGAGTGCTTGCCTCAATGTATTAGCATATCCAGGCTGTGTCTGAATGCGAACCTTAGCAGCTTCCATGGGAGCCAGAGCAATATCAGCAAAGAACTCTGCACTGGCAGATGCAGCTAAATACAATGATGTACGCCACAAATATGCATTTTCCTAAAACATTGTAGCAAATTAGAAATAGTCACAAAACTTCTACTGAACAAATCAGAAGAAAATAAAGCTAAGTTATGAAGTGCAAGAGCTTACCTCTCCCAAAAGGTTGCCATACAGGTTTTTGAAAACTTCATAAAAACCAAATTTGCAAAGTCCTTGCATGGAATAGCCAATAAAAGTTGGAGCCCATCCCTTTCCCAAGCCACGAACACCATCTTCTTTGAGAGTGACTGAAAATCCATTGAAGATACTCTTGTATTTTTGAGGATCCACCTAAACAGGTTTTTAAAAGTAAGTTAAAAGAAGCAATATTATAAATGATTGCATATAGGTAGTCCTTGTTGAATGACCACTCATTCACCAACTGAAATTATGACAACACTGAATGAGGGGTACTTACAACAGGTCCTCGTTGTGGTCATTGTAGTGTCCCTGAGTCACATGATTTTGATTCGGGCCCCTTAGCAACCTGATGTTGCTAAGTGTTCTGTGTTCACATGATTGCTTCTTTGACTTTCAAAAAGCAAAGTCAATGGAGAAGCTAGCAGGAGGTTGTCATATGATTGTGGGACACTGCAAGATTTGCCTAAAGACAGCAACTGGGACTGCTAAAACTTGGTGCAGTCACATGATGTCATACTTTGCAACCACACTGTTTAGCAACAGCTGCTGCTTTTAATTATCATTAAGAGAGGACTACCTGTTTATATAGTTTAAATGTGCATATATACATACCACATAAATGATAGAAGCCTCATTAAAGAGCAGTTAGAATCTGTATTCAAGTGGCTAACAAACTAGAATGAAGGGGAACATCAAGCAGTAATGTTTAGTTGCAAGATAAATTTAGGAATCATTAGGAAAATAAAGGCTGTTAAAATAGAGAATAAAAAGGGGAAAAACTATGTGAAAAGTGTTAGCAGAAAGTAGTTTCCAAGTGAAAGGTATTAGCAGAAAGTAGAGTTTCCAAGTTTTGATGCTGGTAAAATATATGAAATATAAAATTTAAGTAAGAAATTTAACTTGTGACCTAATGTTTTATCAGCATGCAGCAATACCTTCTAGTTGTTCAGACAGTGGGCAACAGTTGGTTTGCAAGTAGTTTCCAAATTTGAGATCATTGTTTATATACAATGTAAGCTTGCTTGAGGTAAAACTGGGCTTTGTTTTGTATATACTGGCCAAAATTGACTGGTATTCTTAGTATGAGCAGAGAATGATGAATGTCATGAAGGTAATTATGTTAACTAAAAACATCTGTCTTAAAGACTAGACTAGTTTATGTGAAAATCTCAATCAAAACTATGACCAGTATTGATGGGCAATATTTATAAGCCCATGTTCTATGGAAGACTGCAACTTGGAATGCAAAAGGCTACGATAAAGAGCATGAGTTTCTTTCATTAAAAAGTAGGTTTTCTGTCTATGAAATTAAAAGAAATGTTAATGAAAGTAACCTGGTATTACTGAACTAACACATCCATGAAGATGAAGTTATGTTTTATTATGTATAAAAAGTTATATGTTATCTAGAGTGTTGAAGTATACATGGAAATAATATTTTATTAACTGGTGATAGCTGCATATTACACTATTAATTGATAATAAAATAACCAGGAATGATTTGGGGTGGGGGGAAATGACAACATTCTGAATAAATGCAATCTGTGGAAGCAATGATTCATCACATGACATGATTGGATGGGTAGGAACAATGTAAGAGCACAGAAAACTGACTGGTCCATTTCAAGACCTAGGAATGAATGGCAGTAGTGATTATTTGCTGAGTATCTGATTAGAAATAGATCTAATCTTTTAAGAATTTTTTATTCTTTTAAGGAAAATCTTCATACGAAGGACTACACATATACTAAATTTGTATTAATGAAAGAATATAGTATTTTTAATAGAAATAGTGTTAAAACAAAAATAGTTCTGGATGGAATAAAAGAAAATATTCCTGATATTTAGGAAAACTGCATAAATTCTTAAATGCCATGAAACAATGGAAATTTCTTAGCAGTTTTTCTTGGTTTACCTAAATGTGATAAAGTTAATTCTTCAATAATCCTAAAAATATTTTATTAATAAAACATAGTATTGTAGTATTCAATCTCTCTGTTCCTACCTTCCTACCTCATGCTCCCTCTACTGACTTGTTCCATTCACTTTCCTCTTACTTTCTGGCTTTTCTGACTTCAGTATAAGCAGGATTATATTTTCTGCAATATGTTTGGATCACAATGTAGTAAAAAGATTCCTCAAGATATTTAGCTGCTTTAAAAAAACATAACAGTTGAATTAATTTTGCGAAATTAAATTCTTGTAAGAGTTCTAAGCAGCTGTAGTTATCATTTAATGTAATATTATACAACCACATCATTAA